TCATTTTAAGATTTCAGGATCCTGCACTAATGTGCTAACATAATTCCCAATGCACAAATTTGTAAAGCCACTACGTTATTATTATTATTATTATTGATGTTAGGAAATGAGAAAGCACATAACGATGGTAGCATCTAATGGCATGTTCTACATACGAATTTAAAATGAATAAAATTATTCAGCTGGATCAAAAGTTATTATTTGTGGGGGTAGATGTGAATGGAAGTAAAAATATCATTGGTTTATCTTTCCTTGTAATATAAGGAGGCTAAAAACGACCATGAAATGAAGTTCTCTTTGAATGGGCTAAAAATAACCTCATTTCAAATGATTAAAGCACTGTATGCCTTGTGATTTTGGTGTATTATGCCATTAGTACTAAAACAACAAAAAGACACTAACTTCTTTGTATTAGTACCCTGATGTTCAACACCAACCATCCTAATCCCAGTAAAAAGCTAGTTCAATAAAATTCTCTTCACCAAACTAGTTTTCTTACAATCCACCTCATTGTTAACCTCACACCCACATCTCAGTCTTTGAAGCAGCCATGTTGTGATTTCTCCCATGTGGTTCTAATATCTCATGTCTGAGATCCATATCCAGTACATTAAAGTCTCCTTTTTTAAAAATCAATTCATTATTAGAAATAATAATAAATAATAAAGTACCTCATTGTGGAATTTCCTTTATGACCATATCTCACAATGATGTTTAAGAAGGTAGGTTCAGCCCCACTAAAATTGAAACACTGAGCATTGCATACACATAAATTTTCCATAAGTCTACCCTATGAGGTAATTCATGTAAACTCAAAGATTTTTGAAGATAATTAATGTAACTTATGCATAAAAAACATTGTAAGAGAATCAAGTTATTAGAACAGAACAATATTTCTTATTCACTTTTTATAGCACCACATTCTCACTACTGGATATATTTTGCTGTTTGTCTCTGTCCTGAATAGCTGCTTTCCATTGGATTTTCATTGAGCAATATGAACCTGAGTTACTTTTGCTACCCACAGATGGAAGATGTTTAATATATAAATAACTACTCATCTATAGGTAGATTGGTTATTGGTGCAGTGGGTTAAACCTATGTCTCAATGGAACTGTGGCCATTGATAGACCCTGTAAGTTAGATACATTTATTTTTAAAATGACTTGGTAATAAAATAAAGATTCTGCTTATAGTGATCTGCCATAACTTTCAGAAAATATATATTAAATAGTATTTATGATGTGACTTGAATCTTTCACAGTGACTAAATTTGATAAAATCCTCAAGGCCAATTATCATCCTTTCTGATCACAACTAATAGACCATTTGAGCTAGACATTTTAATCCTGGTGTGTAAATAAATGTTAAACATACCTATAAATTCTGTATTTAATAGTTTATATGTGAACAATAAATGACTGTAGATGGTTTGTGGTTTTATCCAAATTATAAAACTGCATTTATAATTCTTCCCAAGTAGAAAATAAAATAATACCAAGAAAAAGACAATTGTAAATGAGGTGCTCTGTTATTAAACAAAGGCATTTCAAGCCCAGATGAGTGGACTTACTGCTTTCACTGCTACTTGTACTCTGAAAAAACAAAGAGCAGTTTCAAAGTAAAATTCATCACTCATCTATAAATGGTAATAATTACATTGAGTCTAGTGGTAATATTATTATATACAGAAATAGTTTATCGTTTATTCTCTTCATTTTACTGTTCACGTTATGTAATTTATTATAGGATTAGAAATCTTTAATTAAATAATATAATGGACCAGCAATGAAAGAACACAAACATGTAACATGATCAGGTGCTTAACATGGTGACTTCAAGTACATATCTTTTTTAATACATAATGTATGAACATAAGTAGTCAGGATTGAAGTGGCAAAACGAAATACACACTATTAATACACAATGCAGACAAAATGCATGCTGCATAGATACATTCCATTGTTGCCAGCATGCAGGGTGTGGAACAAGTCTGAATACAATACATCACATTCTGAAATATTTATGATATATAAACACAGGCCTGTTTTCAGAACATACCCCAAGAGCAAAACGCTGCAGCAGACATAATCACATACATAATTATAGCAACAATAATTCTTATATGGAATATTTAGAAATAGTCAATATTACACTATACTCAAAATACATTTTATCATAAAATTAATATTTTGAGTAAATTATTACACACACACACAATAAGTTAAACATACTTATGTATGATTTGAGGTTAAACACACAGGTTATTTTCATATGTATGAAAAATATATACAGCTGTAAAAACACAGATGTATAAAACAGGTACATGATTATAGTTTATTAAATAATTTCTTAGCTATTTAAATTCATCAACAGTGAAAGATGTGATTGTAGGTGCTTTTAAAACAATAATACTTCAGAAGTTGGTGACAGGAGGACATGGCCCTGTTGGGCCTCCTACTTCAGCTAGCCTCAAACGTGGACATAAGCAGGGGACCCTGAAAGATTAGGATTTTGTCCTCCTGTCACCTGAAGACAGAATTAGAACCATTTTCCATAACACCATGGGTTTTTAAGAACACCTACATGATGCATAAAATCCAAAACCAGTTTTACTTTTGAATCACTTCCTACTTCCAGTGAAGAGCGATTACTTCGTTCTAGGACTGTCTTCTGATGTCCCTTCCTTAAGTACAATTTTTCCACACACTACAGCAAGGGCAAGCAATTGTGTGTAAGCGGCAGGCGTTCAAAATTAATTTTAAGGTAGGGTTAAGTAAAAGTAAAGTAAAGTTTGTCCCGTTATACGCCATGTAGGCGTTTGGGGTGAGTGGAGGTATAGTTCCTCTTCCTTGACCCCAGCACTAGATGGGGGTGAGTGGTCAGCATCACGCCCCGGCCGGCTCTACCCCCAGGAAAGGACCCCGGTACCCATTGTAGAGGAGGTTGGGTGGGCCCTAGAGCCGGTCTGGACGCAGAGGCTAGAGGAAAAGTCCTCTGCCCCCGTCGGGGATAGAACCCCGGCCGTCCAGCCCGTAGCTAGTCACTATACTGACTGAGCTATCCCGGCTCATAAGGTAGGGTTGCTCGTATTAAATACAACCAACTTTTACTGACACATACAGAATATAATTTACAAACAGATATTCAATAATTGCATCACAAAGTAAGTACATATAACTTAGAAGTAATCCTGGAAAATATGAAGAAATGGTCGTATGGCAAACACTCTGGCAATAAATAACACCAACATATAACAGATATCAAACTTTAAATACTCTGGCTGAGACTTCATACACCTATCATAAGGACCCAGTTAAAAATTACGTACACTTTGAGTCCTGCATTATGAGGGGTGTGAAATCGTACTGCAGACAACAATTTTTCAGAATTTTCTAAAGTGCACTTTATAGGACCACCACCATCCAACCAAAAAGCTAAGGAAAGGCAGAGTCCTGCACAAGCGCAAGACATTGCCCCTTCCTAGGTTACACCATTCCTGCACACAAAACACGTTGCTGGATTTCAGAAAAAGAATATCTGGAAACTTAAGGAGTTTCTTAGAGGTAGTAACAGATAAATGCAGTGTCTACAATATTTTATGGAATCTATTCAAACTTAGAAGACATGTGCCTTACTTTCAAATCTGGATTTTGAAATTTAAAGTGATACAAAATATGCAGAAGAAAGACAAGAAACTCCTTAATGGTGATTAAACTTTTTTTTTCTTAACTCATCATATAAACAACAGTTCAGCAAGCGGTAATATTAAGTAAACAATTCCAATAGTTAAATGGCAGTAAATTTCATTAAAAGATACTGTTAATACTTATAGAAGCGAATTATGTACTGTTATGTTAGATTCTACATTAATCTGGGGTGGGAGTACTGAAGCACAAAATCATATTTTTAATACTTTTAGTAACGTAAAAAGTTAAAATTTTTGAGCAGATTATACTTTTGCTGTGTTGGCTTGCAGCGGCGAGACGGAAGAGTTGACCTAGACTACGGTAATTTTCCCATTAAGCACTGAATGTGGGTAGAATTTATATGATAATCTATTTCATGGTTATCCAAAAATTCCTAAGAGAGCAACATTATGTAACGTAAGTACAAATAAATGTGAATCGCAACAGCCCACGATGATTACATGCAGTTTCTTTGGCTTACTGAATTAAAGCAACATACATTTAAGAAATGTAACATAAATAAGTAGTAAGAAACAGCACAAATATAATACTGCACATAATACTCCACAAATATATTTTACCGACCTCCAAAATGCATCTTTGACTGTCACTAGTAGATGCTTACAAAACTAAACATTTATTATGTTTGCATCTACATAGTGGACATACGAGGGCCAACATGAACATTTAGACAATGCTGACAACAGTGTCAGACTATAAACCATTCATATAAAATATAAAATACTCCAGAAAATACAAGCATGCCAACATCACCAATAAAGAAATGAAATTATATATATACTACAATATGCACGTAAAATTACTCATCTTATCTGCATACTTTGACTGAACATCATTAATTACTAAACATAGGCATGTATTTTTTAAGTAGTCATGTTTCATTTCTCACCCCCTCCCTTCATTACGAGAATAAAAATGTATCTAGGAACGCGATACATTCACCAACTTTGAACATAAGAATTCAAAGATGCAACATTATTACAAATTTATCTTAGAAATTAAATAAGAAGAGACATAAGAAACAGAGATTACTCTCCTGCTTTATCAAAAAACATTTGCTAAGGAACAATAAATAAAAGCACAAAAGTTTTGAATGAAACTGAAAGAAATTTCCAACATTAAAGTCCGAAGAAAAGATCTGTAGTAGGCTGATGATCTGATACACCTTAACTATTCAGAAGTAATGGGGAACAGATAAAAATGAATCTGGAAACTGTGATGGCTCCCGCTCCAGGCCTCGGTTATTCAGTGCTCGTATCATAAGACTGAGACGCAGATGTTCACACGTTTCTTGTACAGTGCACGAAGTTACATCTTGAGCTTGGACTGAACTTCTGCCATAAGAGAGGCAGATTTGTGGAGCTTTTCCTTCTCTTCCTGAGTCAACGGCTGTTTCACGACGTGCGTAACCCCATTCTCGCCCAGGACACAAGGCAGCGATAGAAATACCTCTTTATCAATGTCGTGCTGGCCCTGCAAAGTCAAGAAAACAACTCTTTCATCAGAGACGACGGACGTCTCACTACCAAATCGCATCTCATTTGAGGTCAGGACGGTTACAATTTCAGTCACATCTTGAACTGTTTTGTTCAAGCGGATCAATACAAGACAAAGATCCTGTTCCTGACACAGAGTATCAAAAGGAAGAACAAGTTCTTTCTTAATTAATGAGTACAGTAAAATAAATGCCCCAAATCTGTGTCGCCGACTAACTAGACAGATAGACGTAAGTGTAACTGCGAGCTAAGAACCAATCAGAGCAGAGTACTCACATTGACTAATGTGGATACTGCATGAACATTAAAGCCATTGCGAAGTACCGACTGGGCCAGTGTTGCCACACTAAGTCCAATAGCCCATGAGGTATAACCTTTCAGCTTAATCACTTCATATGCACTAGAAAGAAAAGTTAATTCACAAGTTGAAAATGAACTATCGGAACTACCAAACATCAGTTCTCTCGTGAAAAACCTCCAATTCATTTCAGTAACTCAAAAGTTTAAAATCTAAGCGAGAGACGGAAGACTTTCGACAGTTCAACGGGAACAATAAATCAGAAACCTTCCCACACAGAACGAGTAAAGGTCGAGTTGTTTTCGGAACACTTACCTCTGCACTACCTGCATATGCATTTCTTCCCACTGTTCCACGTCGTCAACGCTTCCAAGCGCCGGATTGATGTCCCGGAGACGGACGCCGGCCACATTCACTCCAGACCACACGGCAACTACCACAACCATTACAAAATTCAAGATAACAGAAAGGGAGGAAAAGAGGTCAATTTGAGACTCTGAAGGGTCGAGATGTCAGAGTTGAATAATGTGGCTCTATCTGGAAAAATTAATTACACATTTCAGACCATCGTAATTGGAGAGTAACCTGATTTTGGATTAAGAAAAAAGTGGGACACATCTAGGAAAATTCTCCTTTTAAACAAGGACAGGAAAAGTCCAGACAATGAATAATTTTACTCGCAATCCACCGTCATCAGAAACCTTTAGAACCGAGTCGTTCCGATTAAATTTACTTACCACTCGAGTCTCCGTGCTCTCCAATAATCCAGCCGTGACAGCTCGTGGGGGACAGGTTAAGACGCTGAGACATTAAGAATCGAAGTCTTGACGAGTCCAAGTTGGTGCCAGAACCAAAGACGCGGTTCTTCGGCAACCCACTGAGCTTCCACGCGACGTACGTTAGAATATCCACTGTGTAAATTAAACATTTGTGCGTTATTACTGGAAATGTCTGCCACGACGTACTCATTTCAGTTATTTATATGAACACAGTTAACTAAATCCTTCTCTCCATGCACCACTTAGCGTGCTGCCAACTGTTGTGGGTTGAAATCTCTTATTACAATACAACAAACGTGAAGTGAAGTACAGTCTGATATTGTGATAAAGTACACAAACCTGGGTTGCTGACAATAAGCAGAATGGTATTAGGGCTGTATTCAACGAGTTTTGGTATAATGCCCTTAAAAATGTCTGTGTTTCTCTGCACCAGATCCAATCGAGATTCCCCTTCCTTCTGGCGCGCGCCGGCAGTCACGATGCACAACCTAGAGTTGGCCGTCACTGCATAATCTGATAAAGCAAAATAAAAGGGACCATTTAGAAAACTTACTGAGTAAAATGTAACGCCGCATTATTGTGTTATACGAATTTAAAGAATAAATAAATTGAATTTTTATTAAACTGTTTACAACAGAGATCACACGGCCTCCTCTACAAAATGTAATATGGTTGTTCTTTCTTAGAACGAGGATACAGAGCCCACAGCATGAAGATGGCAACTGCCGACAGGGTTAAAAATTCCAGAGCTGGGATAGCTCAGTCATTATAGTGACTAGCTACGGGCTGGGCGACCGGGGTTCAATCCCCAACAGAGGCAGAGGATTTTTCCTCTAACCTCTGCATCCAGACCGGCTCTGGGGCCCACCCAGCCTCCTCTACAATGGGTACCGGGGTCCTTGCCTGGGGATAAAGCGTGGCTGAGGCACGATTCTGACCACTCACACCACCATCTAGTGCTGATGTCAAGAATGAGCTACCTACATGGCATGTAGCGAGACTGCTTTACTTTACTTTTATCGCCACAACCTTAGTAAAGAAAGAAGGGGTAATCCAACTTACCAGTACTAGCATTAATTCTTGCATGCTTCATGAAAGTCGATCCATGCTGGAGATCCATCATCTCCCCCTTCAACTTGTCAGCAACAACGTCAACAAGAACAAGTTCACTTGCAACATTCTGAAAAGAGTTGAAAATAATTCAGACACTACGCAATGTCATAAAATTAAATTTACATTCCCATCCGAATCACAATCTTTAATTTCCTAGACTCGTACAACTTTAAATGGAAGACTGCTACAGTACTGGTTAATGGACAAAGCAAAATATGCAGCCATGCCATAGTACAGAGCCTTACGCCATTCGCCTCTCACAGCAGGAACCTGGGTTCACTCTCAGGGGTCCATGCGGCGCAAATGGAGGAAACATGAAATGATTAACTGAAACTATCACTCTAATAGCCTTTTTCTGTATGACATGCTTACCTGTGTAAGTATACTGAACGCACATGCCATTCCTACTTGTCCAACTCCTACAATAGTCACTTTGTTGCCAGAAGAGGTGACAGGGTCAGCCACTTGAGAGAAAAGTGTCAGATATGTAGAACCCATTTTATTTCACCTGTTACAAGGAAAAAACAAAGTCTGGTTACTCAAATAATATGCAACTTTTACTTTTAATAAAAAAAAGTTATTTTACGAAAATAAAATATTACAAGTAGCAGTCACAAGCGTATACCAAAATAATAAGAAATGGATATATTAAATGAAAGTGTATTCCATTTTATGCTGGTTTAAATAATAATGTGTTGTAGAACGTTAATGTACTCTCACCTTTAAGCGCTGTTCAAACTTATACGAGATATAATTATTTCTTAACTTCAAACTACAACCTCACAGTTCCAACGCCACCGCCTTTCTGACACAGGTTATGCTGGCAAATAGGAAGATACAAAATTTCAAGGTGACCTTCCAAAATCTTAGTCAATTTAAATGTTATTCGTAAACGGCACAGACAATAATTTAGGTTTATACAAAATGCACTTAAATATATATGCACAAATAATTCTGAATGTTATAAAATTGAGTGAATTACAGTTTATATTACGTAAATTACGGAATTCAATTTGATTACATATCCGACAAGCATGCGCACCAACTTCTGCGCGACGTGTTATTACACGCGCCAGTCGTATTCCCAGAAAGTAGCACACCATACTTATTGCATGAATTGCATTACGTATTGCATTTCGTCTCAGTTCTTGCATCATACAATCAGATGACGAAACGTGATAGAAATTACATGGTCTA